CGATATTCGTTTCGGTACTGTAGCAGGCAAACGATGCCAACACCTCCATTCATTAGTTTCACTACTGTTGAGTATCCATAGTAAGTTACTTATATCAGTATTATGACAATGAGCATTCTATGGTTTTCGATATTACGTTTCCCCCATCGACGGACACTATGAGCAGGGGAATCAAAAACGCTCTCGTTCATTTTGTTCGGCTGAGTGTCGTCAAATTCCAGAGTAAAACCTAGTCTTTTTCGGTTATCATAGCTTTACGCACTGCTAAGGTCAGTTAAATTCAACTAATTTGCATACAAAACAGAAAGCATTCAGTATATTACGAAAATATGCGAAAAACAGAATTTCGTTTACCTCTGGATTCAAGCCGCGCGTTTCTTCTTTCAACGACAGCAAGGTTTCGCCAAGGTTAACGTTCTCCTGGTTCAGCAGGATGTTCAGCAACGCGTACGTCGCACAAGAATTTGGTACGTTATAAAAAAACAAACACTAGATAAATCCAATGCTCATCGGTCCATTAGTGCAGGAACCACGAGGAGCGGAAGTACGTCAGTTACAGAACCGAAGGAATGAAGTCAGAGAGTTAGCTCTAATTTCATGAATCAAAGAACTTGCTTACGATGGTCTACAAGAAGGCAGTACAAAGAGTAAGGGAAGCAATAGGTAATGGCTTGTGATGAGCTGGTGGCAAACCATGGTTTAATGAAAAAGCGGAATACTGAAAAGTGCATGAACCCAAGATTTCATAACATAGGCCGTGGCTATAGAAAAACGACGCACCAGAGAGGCTTAATTCTTAATACACGTTATTAGTCAGGATTCGTTGGTCCCATGGCTCTTCTGTTGCATGCTCGTATAAGGGGCGTCAGTGTGCACAGAGTTTAGATATCTACCTGCTTGGCAAAAAACATCGAGTTCAGCGTCGCTTCATCCGTTACCAGCTGGTTCGGTTTGGTAGAGAGACCAAAGCTGCCATGACGGCTTCGCCGAGTGTTCCCCAGCCATTTGAACAAAAATATGAATCCATATGATGGTCTAAAATATAAAGTTTTATTGTATACTTTTGTACATCCTGTCGAACCCAGCAAACTGATCCGAATTTTCCAGAATGTCTCCTCACTTTTTCTCAATGACAGTGACTTTGAGCGTAACATAAGATGCTTCTCTAGTTTATTCCGACGTTTCAGCATCCGGCCATCAACGGCAAAAAATTTTCAAAATGTGGACAAAGTATACAATTCAACGGTACAGTGCAGAAAAATTACGAAACAACCGTGGCGTAAAAAACGAACGAGTAAACGTAAAACAAAACTAAAAGGAACTTTAAAAAAGCACTAACTGGTTTTCAAACTGGAGCAGTGAAGCGAGTAGTGAAAATAAATAACGTGATTTTTTATTTGGCTACACTACAGATTTCCAAGTCGAGCATATATCAACAGAGCTGGCTTAGTTGTTAAACATTCTTTCCGTGTTAAATAAAATATGTAATGAGGCTTAGGACGTCCTTTTCACAGTCAAGGATATAGACCCTTTTTCTATTAAAGATGCGCTTGCACTCTAATGATTGAGCTACATCCCAGAATGCTCTGGGTGATTCCTCCATACAGCATCTTGTTGTTCTTTCATTTTCACGATAAGGGTCCAGTAGGTGTTACCTATTTATATTCTACTGTAGTTTTCACGGTTTTTCTGATAAACTACGTTTGGATCATATGTTTGTAACAGATTCGATATACCCGCAACTCCAGAAGAGGTGTTTAATACACTACTTCATCTTCATCTTCCATCGCCGCTTCTCCTTTCGGCTCGCGGAGGCAGACACGTCAGACAGAGCTTCCAACGTTCCCGATCCTGTGCCAGAGCCTCAGCTTCGGCAAAAGACAAATGGAGTCTCAAACAGACTCATTCCATATATTTGCACAAGGTTAACTTTGCCCGTCCCCTGGGCGTTTTGCCGGTCGGATTTGCAAGAAACAGTTGCTTAGCCTTCCTTTCTGGAGGCATTCGCAAGACGTGCCCAAGCCATCGCAGCTGCGACTTCT